TATGAATGAATGGCACAGACGCGCGGTTTCGTTTACTACACACATACTGAAGTGCGCAGTGTTTTCAGCGTCTGCTGTCTCGCTAAATGAGAACATAAATACATGAACAACAGTCAGTGTCTGCTCTATTATAAATCATTTATATTTTAAAAATACCCAAAACAGCGGAATTACAAGATGGAAATATAGACTAGAAAGATATTTAAACTTGCTCTGCCCTTACGTCCATGACATTGACTCACTGCGGAGTTGTTTTGGCAATCTTTCCAGCTCTTAACGCCGAATGTGCTCTTATGGTTTGATACATGATGGGCTAATGTAGAAGCAAATAACTTGAAATAAATAACTTTAAAAAATAACTTTTAAAAATAAACCCCTTTGTATTGCATTGCATATTGTATGTCCAGGGATGACAGATGCAGAAGCAGACATGCTATTTATGACAGGATGTAACTTTTCATACTTTGCAGTAAAAGTGGCTCTCCTATTAACTTTGTCCTATATGTGCGGCTCTCGTGAAAAAAATAGTGAAGATCACTGCACTAGACTATGATGCCAAGCAAACTTTGAAACTAGGCTGCAAATTGTCTTTAGATATTACCAAAAATTAAATAAAAACTATATAGACATTAAATTTAAAAAAAAAACATGAAAATGACCAATAAAACCAACAAAATTGCCAAAGCTATATAAATATAAAATGAATAAAACATAAAATAGATAATATTACCTCAATGACACTAAAATAACACTGTGCTTCACTAAAGCATTAGTGGTAACGTATAGTAGTCTCTTACCCTTAGTATACGCAACGCTTGGTCATAATTCTCATGTCTCAGCTCCATCTCTCCATATTCACACCACACCGCTGCAAGATCATCCACCTGTTTGTAGTTCACCTTTGTGGCCTTCTCAAAGATAGTCCGAGCCTTGAAGTTCAAGAGAAATAGTTAACCATCAGTTTAACCAACAAATTATCTGCAAGTTAAATTAAATTAAAAGCTGCAAGTACACAGGAAGTGTCGTACATCATCCAGCTGTTCATTATCCTCATAGAATCTGGCGAAGGACACCCAGAGAGTGTGAGGTTTTCCTGTGGCTTTCATAGGATCTATCGTTTGCACAGCTTCTGTGTATGTGTTGATGATCTACAGGAAAAAGCAGAATAAGGTGTGTAAATCACATGTTGAGACAAATATCAATCGATTTAAAGATGTAAATGATCTTTCCAACCTGTCGTGGTTGGCCCTCGTAGAGTTTGACTCTCTTGTGCCACTCGTGAACATTGTGGGGGTTCTGACGCAGCAGCACGCTGTTTAATAGAAGCGGTCGTCTAGTTATCAGCGACTCAAAACGGGCCAATCGCAACTCCAAGTCAATGTCATCTAGAGTGGGGAAATCAGGATTTCTGTAACACCAACATCAAGGATTAATTGCTACAAGGTCTTCTGAGGAAAAAAATCTCTCACCTTCTTCATCTTGTCCCAGTTCAGACGTGGTCTCCATCTTGGCAGCAATCATGCTCTCCTCAAACTGCGCAAAGCTGTCGAAAACCTGGGTGAAGTCTCGCACAGTGACTACTGTTAGGATGGCCTCCTCGTATACATCTCGAGCCTTGAAAAAACAAGATAATGGTGTCAATTTGTGCATGAGCAGGGTTAGTGTATACAGAGTCTTAGATTTCATATATTTGTAGTTTTACCTTCTCAAAGTGTCCACTGCGGATGTAGTAATCAGCCAGAGAACACCAGAGCTTGCCAAGCTGGTCAGTAAAGCGAGTGAGACCTCCTCTGATAATCGCTCCCACCTTCAGTGAAGTCACCTTGTCTGGGTTTTGTGAGATGAGGTCACAGAGCTCGTGCCAGAGCTGTAATTGAATTTTACATGATAAAATATGTACATTCTGCACAGTATGTGAATATTTCACAAAATTGAATTAATGCATATATGGAGACAGAGAATAGGATGGACATTAGTGGCATAAAGCCACTTTGATGCATAATAATAATGCATCATTAGTCTTAGAATGACAATTCAATGAATTGATTAGGGACCTAAGCAATTATAATTCCTATAATAATTACTAGTGTATTAGATAATCATTTTTTTCTAATCCTCCATCTCTCCAGAACCACACCACAAAGCAGCAGGATCATCCACCTGTTTGTAGTTCACCTTTGTGGCCTTCTCAAAGATAGTCCGAGCCTTGAAGTTCAAGAGTAATAGTTAACCATCAGTTTAACCAACAAATTATCTGCAAGTTAAATTAAATTAAAAGCTGCAAGTACACAGGAAGTGTCGTACATCATCCAGCTGTTCATTATCCTCATAGAATCTGGCGAAGGACACCCAGAGAGTGTGAGGTTTTCCTGTGGCTTTCATAGGATCTATCGTTTGCACAGCTTCTGTGTATGTGTTGATGATCTACAGGAAAAAGCAGAATAAGGTGTGTAAATCACACACTGTAGTTATGTTGAGACAAATATCAATCGATTTAAAGATGTAAATGATTTTCCAACCTGTCGTGGTTGGCCCTCGTAGAGTTTGACTCTCTTGTGCCACTCGTGAACATTGTGGGGGTTCTGACGCAGCAGCACGCTGTTTAATAGAAGCGGTCGTCTAGTTATCAGCGACTCAAAACGGGCCAATCGCAACTCCAAGTCAATGTCATCTAGAGTGGGGAAATCAGGATTTCTGTAACACCAACATCAAGGATTAATTGCTACAAGGTCTTCTGAGGAAAAAAATCTCTCACCTTCTTCATCTTGTCCCAGTTCAGACGTGGTCTCCATCTTGGCAGCAATCATGCTCTCCTCAAACTGCGCAAAGCTGTCGAAAACCTGGGTGAAGTCTCGCACAGTGACTACTGTTAGGATGGCCTCCTCGTATACATCTCGAGCCTTGAAAAAACAAGATAATGGTGTCAATTTGTGCATGAGCAGGGTTAGTGTATACAGAGTCTTAGATTTCATATATTTGTAGTTTTACCTTCTCAAAGTGTCCACTGCGGATGTAGTAATCAGCCAGAGAACACCAGAGCTTGCCAAGCTGGTCAGTAAAGCGAGTGAGACCTCCTCTGATAATCGCTCCCACCTTCAGTGAAGTCACCTTGTCTGGGTTTTGTGAGATGAGGTCACAGAGCTCGTGCCAGAGCTGTAATTGAATTTTACATGATAAAATATGTACATTCTGCACAGTATGTGAATATTTCACAAAATTGAATTAATGCATATATGGAGACAGAGAATAGGATGGACATTAGTGGCATAAAGCCACTTTGATGCATAATAATAATGCATCATTAGTCTTAGAATGACAATTCAATGAATTGATTAGGGACCTAAGCAATTATAATTCCTATAATAATTACTAGTGTATTAGATAATCATTTTTTTCTAATCCAAAATACAATTCCTGACCTATTTTAAGCCACCAAATCCAGATCTGCAACCTACATTTTTGTCTTCAAGCATGAATATGTCAGAAAAATACAATAAAATGTTGGCCAATTTCAGACTGCATCATCTTGAATATGCATCATTTAGTTAGGAACCATAATTAAGATAAATCTGTGTCAAATACACTACTGTCCAAAAGTTTGGGGTCAGTAAGATTTTAGCTTTAAGAGTGAGGGGTCAGTAAGAGGTCAGTTTTTTAAAGAAATTACTTATTTCTTTAATTCAGCAAATTAAAATTACTTATACTTTTATTCAACTTATAAGTTGAATATAAGTATACTTATATTCAGCAACGCTGTATTAAACTCATAAAAAGTGACAGTGAAGACAAAGTTACAAAATATTTTTATTTCATACAAATGCTGTTCTTTTGAACTTTGTTCACCAAAGAATCCTGAAAAAAACGTATCACGGTTTCCATAAAAATATTAAGCACAACTGTTTCAACATTGAAAATAACAAATGTTTCTTGAGCACAAATATTAGATTATATTAGAATGATTTCTAAAGGATCATGTGACACTGAAGACTTGCTTTACCATCACCGGAATAAATTATATTTGAAATATATTTATATAGAAAGCAGTTACTTTAGATTGTAGTAATATTTCAAAATATTTCTGTTTTTACTTTGTTGTCGATAAAATAAATGCAGCCATGGTGAGCATAAGAGACTACTTTCAAAAATATAAAAATAAAAATTGTAACCAACCCCAAACTTGTGAATAGTAGTGTATTTACACTCCAGATGTAGAGATGGACAAACTCATTAAAAAATGTAAAACCTGTAATTTGCTGACCTGATAATTGGACTTTCCCTCTTTCGAAACAAAGTTTTCATCATTGACCACAGCTGCCAGCCGAATCGCAGCTTCATCCAGACGTCCAACTGAACGCAGGTAATCAATGTATTCCTCTGCATTCTCAGGTGACAACTACAAAAAGGACAGAGGAAAAGGAAGTGTATAGATAGCTTTAATCATTTACACCTTAAAGCACAGAGCTTGACACGTCAACTAATATAGACAATCAAGTGTGTTTTTGGTTTCCAGCATAACGTCCAACATTTACCTTTAAGTACCGGCGGTAAACACGAATAGCTGTTTCTGGGAGAGGCAAGTTACGGGCAAAGCGAAGATACAGGGGCCAGATGCGAGGATGCTGGGTAATGGGTAGCGCTCTTAACGCCCTATCGAATGTCCGTCTGCTCCGTGTAATTTTGCATTGAGACACCATGAGCTGACAGTAGTCGATCCATATCCTGGGCATCTGAGGAGACCGTGAAAAGTCTGCTATATGTTGTCACACAGTACTGCCGCTATACAAACGTGAAAATGTAAGAAACTTCAGCTTTACCTTATGCATAAACACAAGTGCTCTCTCATGACAGTTGTTCACCTCCTCGTATGCTGGATCTGTGACACATTTGCCTTTCACCTGTTTCCTTCTCTCTCTCAGGTAGTTGTACCACAACTTGTAACTGAGAAATACATAAGAAAAGAAGCAAATCTATTTTAGGTTCCAAGCACAGGGGTTTCATTATAAGAGAAAACAAGATGACATGCACACACCTGCCAGGCAGCTCTTTTAAAGCTCTTTCATAGATCATATTGAGCACTGATTTCTGAGCATTTTGCTTGTGCTCAATGTAACGCATCCAGCACTTGACTGAATACGGATTCCTGATGATTTCTTCTTCATAAGGCAAATCATCGTCTTCCTGCAATGTACACATTACTCTATTAATTATATGAACAACGAATGAATGCGAGCTCAAAAAGATAAAGTCATGTTAGGGACCTAGAAGTATTTCGAGCTGAATCATATTTGTTCGATTAAAATGGTTATTTAATTTCAAATATATTGTTAGTAAATGACTGAACATATATGCTAACTACTGTTATCCATTCAGTCTATAATTAATGTTAATCAATGCAAACGACACAACACTTCAGTTCGTGTTTGACAGGTAATACATCACAGATGTTAGTAAATAAAATATTAAAACATTATTTTTGTATTTTGCTATCTTATACTCTCAGAGTTAGCAAGCTAATCACAGCTAGCTAAGAAAAAATGACACAAAACCTACTTAAAAACACAAATACATACGAATAAAACGTCTGCCTTTCCGCTAAGCGTTGGCATTTTCCTTTTGACAGAGAAATCCGTTTAATAATTTTAAAAAGTCAGTGTTATTCTTGACAAAACAAATACTTTCCCAACGTGTTGGGAACGTAGAGTACAAAAGCCCCGCCTTTTCCGAGTGAAGTCCTATTGGCTGTCGCTTCCTCTGACAGAGTTTGAGGTTGTGTCAATGCTTGTCCTCTAGGGGGAGCCTCCAGGATTAGGGCGTTTTTAATGGACGTCAATGTAAGAGAGCCTTTGCCATTATTCTGAAGTGAACTTTATGTAGACTTTGCAGCGAAAAATGTTTTATTAGAGAAGTAACTGTAGCAAAATAGTTGAAAAAGAAGTGCGCTTAATTGTGTTGTACTTGTAGTGTACTGTAAATCTTAAAAGTATATTTTTAATAAACTATACTTGCAGATATTAAATCGTAATATTGGCCACATCTGAAAAGGGTCATACCATTAATATTACCTGTGTAGTTGAATTAAATACGCTATAAAAACCCCGCTCATTCAGGGGCCTGCATTATGGACGGAACAAGAAGATAATGTACAGTAAGTGTATACACACACACACTAGTTCAGTTGAATGACATTTGCGCTCTTTAATGATGTTAAACTGAATATACGTAGCAAACTCTTTTCTCACAATTAACATCAACATTGAAAATCTAGTTTATCTGTCAATCAGTCGCAAAGACCCAATGACCCAATTGCCAATGTGTTATATAGTGCTGTCAAACTATTAATCGTTATTAATCGCATCCAACATAAACGTTTTTGTTTACATAATAGGCCTATATGTATGTGTGCTGTGTATATTTATGAAATATATAAAAAAAACACACACATACAGTAAATATTTTGAAAATATTTACATGTATATATTTATATTATTTATATTACAGGAAAAAAAAAACTTTTATTTTGGATGCGATTAATCGCGATTAATCATTTGACAGCACTAGTTTAAATGTGTAATTCACGTCCTGTGTATCAACCCATGTTTGTGTGTTGGTGCTGCAACAATAGATTGTTTATTTTTAAAATTTTAAACTGGGTGGTGATGATGTCATAATGGTGCTATGTCATTGGAATTTTTAGAACGTTTAGAGCCTAATAAAAAGATGCTGTCAGTGTATGAGCTACTTTTGACTAGGCTTCCCTTTGCATATACAGCGTATCATGTGGGCCGAAAATGATTCCACTCTGAGAAAAAGTGTAATCGGTAATATAATTATTAAGGGCCTAGCAAGGGACATCAATGACCTTGCTTTATCCAGGACTTTCTCTCGCTTCAGGGAAATCCTGTCGAGCAGAGTGGTGTGTGACAGTAACGGTGAACCGAAAGGCTATGGTTTCATCTATCACGCCACACTCGAGGCCGCTGAATTAGTTATTAAGAAGCTGGATGGCTCGCTGCTCAATGGCTATCTAGTGTCCGTATGCCATTTTAAGACATACAAGGAACACCAGGCAGAGCAAAAGAGCAGCTCCAAACCTCCCCAAAAGAAAGACTTCAGTCTTTATGTCCAAAACATGCCGTACAGCTTGGGCAGTGAGGAGCTGGGCTCTCTATTCTCTGCTTTTGGAGAAGTCACCAGTGCAACGGTGATCACGAAGAAAAGACGCAGCATGGGTTATGGTTTTGTGACATACTCATCGCTCGATGATGCTGTTATAGCCACATCTGTAATGAATGGCTATATCATCGGCAACCGGCCATTGAGAGTCACTTTCTCCCATAGTGCAGAGAAAGCAAGACAAATAGAGCAGCCCATAAATGCCAATTCCTTTCGCAGAAGAGCATGATATAAAAGAACAAGAGCAGATTGAACAATCAGAGCAATGAAAAAAAACCTACTGCTAATGCTGGGGGGAAAAAAGTAGAAAAAACAAACCATGTCTCTGGTGCATAAAAACCCTGAACCTGAACCCTGGTGCAAAATACAAAAAATGTAAATAAAACAATAAAAATAAATAAAAACAAATGTGAAATAACTCTTTTTGGAGTGTCTTTCTAATGTTCTGTATTATCACAAGTCTTCAAAATGTTTTAAAACTTTCGAAATCCATTTGCTCAGGATTTTTTAAAACATTTTACAAGTTAAAGAGCTCTGATTTGGGGCTGTTTGTAAATGTAAAGATATTTAGAAGGTTATTTCAAGATATTTAGAGTGAGAGAAAGCAGGATGATTTGCTGCAGCTGCTCTGAAACAGCTTGTAATCTACTTTTAGGGCAGAATAAGAGAAAGACAGACAGAATGACAGCGGGTTATTCAGATGTGGGAATAAGTGCTTTATCAGTCATTATCAAGTCCCAGTCAAGATTTTACATTTTAAAACTTTTGATGTAAATCTACAAGTAGGCATTTGTGATTTAAGTTAAAGAGATACAGCTGCTGAAAATCTGTTCTAGGGTAGCCAATATGTGCAGTCTTGTGCGTTGCTTGGTGTATTCACTTAGCATACTGTAATTTGTTTCACATTAAAAAAAAATTATTGTTTATGTTTACTGAAAATGTATCAGTTATTAGTCATTTTGGAAACGTGTTTAAAGTCATGTCCATTTGCAGGAGATCTTTATCAGTAGCCTAATTAGATGATGATTTATTTTACACGAAACATAAACAGCACAGGTAACACTAATTTTAGAAACAGGCATAAAGCTTCACACAAATACATATTTATTTATTAAATTCACAAGAGATTATCAAACACAACAGAAACAGCACAAGCCTATTTGATCATCCATCACAGCAGATAAAAAACTACATTTTACTCCTTCACTTAATACAGACACACACAAATATCATAAATTTCAGTCAGTCAGTTCACTCAAACCCTGAGCCATGAAATAAAACCATACAGAATACATTTCTAAACGGTATGTTAATTTCCAGTGTGAACATAGCTTATTTTAACAGGTTAATTAAAACTTTTTTTTTTTTAATTAAGTCATCAAATGCAAATAACTTTTTTTCTAAAAATCAACAAGTTTAGCTTATTTGTAATACTGACATTCAACCAGGTGATGTGAAACCAGAATATATGAACATGCGTAGCATCCTATTTTCTCTTTTCTTTGCTTCCCTCTTTTTTCTCTTTCTTTCCACTACTCTTTCCTTTTCCTTTCTTAGCCTCCTTGTTCAGCTCTGCTCTGTCCCGTACGTTATTCTGTTGCAGCTGATTGGTGTGGACTCTTTGGTTCAGAGAGATGTAGTCCTCATATGGGGTCCCCATTGGACTAGCCATGTCTCCTGGGTGTGGAGAAGAGGGTCTCGAGTGTCCCTGACTGGCAGGAGACCTGTGAGGAGACGCAGACCTGGAGCGATGCTGTCCGGGTGGGTTCACATTGAGAGAAAGCGGTCTGCCAGGCCTAGGGCTGAGAGGAATTACTATAGCCTCCCCCGGTTGTCCGATTGTGAGAAAGATTTCAGGGAGTGGACATGGCTGGTTATTTGGTCCATGCGTCTGAAAGAGACCCAAAAATAAACATTACACTTTAGACTTTGTGCTGTTGATGCACTTGAATAATTTGCATTTTTGGCCAAAGCATGAGAATTTTTTGAGAAAACGAAAAAAAAAAAAATCCTGAAGCTGGTTGCCTCATGTTTTTACATTTTCTCAACTTCTGATTTATTTTACTGTGTAGGCATTAATGTTCAAGCATAAATAAGTAGCAATCTGGAATAGGAAAACACTGTTTTAGTGCCTTAAGTTTGCTTTGAGCTGACCAGCTTCTATCGCTTTCTTAAAGCGGTTTAAAAATTTTTACCTAAGTGTACTTAAGTTTAACTTAAAGAATGAATAGCACTTTTGGGAAATACTGTATATACACACACCATGAAGACTCCAGCAATAACAGTGGCCTACAAAAAGCTATTTTGTTTTTATTTAAAAATTAGTGCTGTCAAATGATTAATCGCGATTAATCGCATCCAAAATAAAAGTTTTTGTTTACATAATATATGCATACTGACTGTGTATATTTATTATGCTTATTTAAATACATACACATACAGTATATATTTTGAAAATATTTACATGTATATATTTATATTCATATAATTTATATTATACATATTTTTCTTAAATATATACATGCATGTGTATTTATATATACATAATAGATATACATAGTACACACACATATATTATGTAATAATACACCTATATCGCGATTAATCGTTTGACAGCACTAATAAAAATGCTATATACAAATAGAAAAATTCATAGTGTCCTATAAAAGTTCATAGTGACCACACTGTTACGCTATGAATATGACAAAAAAAACTCATAAAATTGTCTATGCATCTCTTGCACTATATTCAAGCCTTTTGAAGCCATGTGTGAGGATCAGACCATGATTTGCATCATTAAATGAGTCTTCCCATCCAGTGAGCTGTTCATTCAAAAACGTTGTTAAACCAGATCATTGAGTGAGTGAGTTGAACTCATTAGGATAGTTCACCCAAAAATGAAAACTGACCCTCATGTCATTTCAAAATTTTTCAGTCTTTTTTGGAGTTTGAAAGCTTTGGGTCCCATTCAATTTCATAATACTGACAAAAACAGCTGAAACATTGTGACGTACTTTGGTCTGTTTTTCACAAAAAGCTATCTTATGACTTCAGAAGTGCGGAAATATGGAAATTATAATGACTTTCATTCTGTAAACAGTTTTTTGTGGTCATCTACAGTACCTACCTGATCTGGAGGGAAGCACATGGAAATTTGAAACGATATCTGTAAAGCAAAAGTGTTCTTCCAATTAATATCAACAACTTAATTTGAATTTAGAGATGAAAAGCAAAAATAGATGCAGTACATGCCACACAAAATCCCTCACCTGCGCAGACAGGTCATCATGCAGTAATCTCTCGGGGAAAATGAGGCCGATCTGGGGGGAGGCCTGACAGGTGTGTCTGGTTCACTGATGCTCAGAGTGGGAGAGGAAGGTCTGGAACAAACTTTTTTTGGCGCAGCAGGTGACGCGGGGGTCAGGGTGATTTTAGGGGCTAATGTTTTATTGTTCTCTCTCTTAGTTCCAGTGTTGGAGTTCTGGATGCCTGGCAATGCGCTGAGTGTCACGCGCTGGTCATCCAGTCGTCCGCTCTGAAAGTTGGCCACCA